AGATCTCCGCGTGCGCCTTGGCTACCAACTCCAGCGGAGGAGTCCCGGCCAGCGCCGTCGCCGTTGCGTGAGAGACCGTCCTATATGCCTTGATGGCTCTCCCCGCTATACCCCTCTGTGCCCCGCGGAGGGCGCTCAGGATCTTACGCCTCCTACCCGCCTCCTCCGCCCAAACGGGGGCCCCGTATAGGGCGATCGAGGCTACCACGTTGGCGTAGAGCCCACGCGCAGCGCGGCCCGGTCCACCCACGTTCGGCAGGAGCCGGCTAAGGGATGCCGTCGTCCGGGCCGTTTTGGCAGCCATCCCCGCAAAGTGGTCCTCGAAGGACATCTATCGCGCCTATCGAGGAGGAGCCCGCGGTACCTCATATTCTGGCTGAGTCGGACGTCCGCATCGGAGACCCGGACGGTGATGTTGACGGCCTGTCGTCCTCCCCGGTGAAACCCGACCGCCTCCATCTTTTCTGGCGCAATCGTTAACCCGAGGCAATGTTCGGCAGGAGCCGGCTGAGGGATGCTGTCGCCCGGGCCGTTTTGGCGGCCATCCCCGCAAAGTGGTCCTCGAAGGACAGGCGCCTGTCGAGGAGGAGCCCGAGGTACCTCATATTCTGGCTGAGTCGGACGTCCGCACCGGAGACTCGGACGGTGATGTTGCCGGCCTGTCGTCCTCCCCTGTGAAACCCGACCGCCTCCGTCTTTTCTGGCGCAATCGTTAACCCGAGGCCTTCAATGACCTCCACCACGCTGTGGAGTGCCTCGTTGCTCTTGAGGCGCGCCTCTTCCCAGTCCTCCCCGGCCGCAAAGACGATGGTGTCGTCCGCGTAGCACACGACGATGCAGCCGGGGGGCAGGTCCGCCTCCGTCAGGACCCCATTAAACCCCAGGTCCCACAGAAGTGGGCCCAGAATGGAGCCCTGCGGGACTCCGCACTCCATGAAGCGCTTCGCTCTCGTCCCGTCCGCTACCCTGTAGTGACTTCAATGACCTCCACCACGCTGTGGAGTGCCTCGTTGCTCTTGAGGCGCGCCTCTTCCCAGTCCTCCCCGGCCGCAAGGACGATGGTGTCGTCCGCGTAGCACACGACGATGTAACCGGGGGGCAGGTCCGCCTCCGTCAGGACCCCATTAAACCCCAGGATGGAGCCCTGCGGAACTCCGCGCTCCACGAAGCGCTCCGCTCTCGTCCCGTCCGCTACCCTGTAGTGGAAGCGGCGCTCCTCCAGATATGGCCGCAGTACCCTGCGCAGGTAGAGCGGAACTCTGTGGCGCACCAAGGCGCGGCCTATCGCGCTCCAGGGGAGGGAGTTAAAGGCGTTCTTTAAGGCGGCGCTCCTCCAGATATGACCGCAATACCCTGCGCAGGTAGAGCGGAACCCTGTGGCGCACCAAGGCGCGGTCTATCGCGCTCCAGGGGAAGGAGTTGAAGGCGTTCTTTATGTCTAGCGAGACACCCACCACCACCTCCCCCTCCCCCCAGGCCTCCTCGATGAAGCCCGTAATGGAGCCCTGCGGAACTCCGCGCTCCACGAAGCGCTCCGCTCTCGTCCCGTCCGCTACCCTGTAGTGGAAGCGGCGCTCCTCCAGATATGGCCGCAGTACCCTGCGCAGGTAGAGCGGAACTCTGTGGCGCACCAAGGCGCGGCCTATCGCGCTCCAGGGGAGGGAGTTAAAGGCGTTCTTTATGTCTAGCGAGACACCCACCACCACCTCCCCCTCCCCCCAAGCCCCCTCAATGAAGCCCGTGACGCACAGAATGACGTCCACGGTGCTCCTCCTGCGTCGGAACCCGAACTGCCGGGCGTGCAGGTTGTTCGCGACGCTTCCTTCCCGGTGCGCCGTGACGCGGCCCAGGATAATCTGCTCGAGGAGCTTGGCCTCCTCCTCGATAAGACATATGGGGCTATACCGGAGGCCTGGTCGGCCGGCTTACCCGGTTTTCTGAGTAGAACCAGTTTGGCTCCGCGCCACGCTCGCGGGAACTGGCCACGCCTGAGGCACTCCGTGAACAGTGAGCGTATTCTGTCCCCGAGGACGCCGGTGGCGGTGGCGACTCCCCATGCTCGCGCGGGCACGCCACTCTCGCCGCAAGCGGCATTTCTCTCCAGCATTCGTTTGCGTGCCGAGAGAATCTCCTCTTCTGTGACCGCTTGGCTCTCCTTCCAGGCGGTAGGGCCCGTCGGCTCCGTGGATGGGACCACCCAGTGATCTTCGTCCTCCGCTGGGGGGAACAGCCCTCCTAGTACCCCCTCCAGTACCGGGGCCTCGAGGGACTCCGTATATGGGGGCGCCCAGTGTCGGAGTTTGTTCCTGACCAGAAGATAGGGCCTTTCCCAGGGGTTGTCATCCAGGGTCTCGACAAATTCCTTCCAGGACCTCGACTTTGCCTCGGAAATAGCGATCCCGAGTGCTCGTCTCGCTCCCCTCAGCGCCTCGGCCCTGGAGCGCACCTCCTCGTCGTCGAGGTGCCGTCGTCGCTGCGCCCTCTTGACTGCTCTTCTAGCCGCGGAGACGTTGCGCCGCAGCACAGCCAGGTGCTCCGACCACCACGGCATCGCTCGCCTGGGTTGCGGCCGAGTCCGCGGCATGGTCGCGTCGCAGGCCCGCACCAGGATCTTCCCGGTTCTACGTACCTCCGTCTCCAAGTCCCACTCAGTCGGGTTCCGCCCGCACCATACCGCCGGCCATCAGCGACGCCCTTAGTATGTCCTCGTTCAGAGCCCCGATCCTCCAGTGGCGCTCCGAAGGACCGGTCCTCTTGCGCTCCTGCACTGACGTCTCGGAGAGCGAGGCGTGGATGTAATTATGGTCCGACATGGTGACCGTCGGGAGGACCATCCACGTTCGCACCCTCCCTGCCAATTCCGGAGTCCCGAACATGAGGTCCACGATTGATGAACCCTGTGGCCTCTCACAGGTGGGTTCCGCTCCCCTGTTGAGGCACACCAGCCCCAGTTCCACGGCCCAGTCGACCAGGATCCTCCCCCTGAGGTCCGTCTTCGGGGATCCCCATACGTCGGAGTGGGCGTTAAAATCGCCCCCCACTAATACGGGCCTTCCCTCGGCTCGCGTGACGCAATCCCCGATGGTCTCGAGGATCTCTTCGAATTTGTGCCTATGGGCGCTGGGGGAGATATAGACCCCCACGATCACGGATCTCCCCACTGACCGCCACATAGGCCTCGCCCTTATCATAGGGCGTACATGGAAAGGGGTTGGTGGTCCTCCTCCATGTGATTGCGACCGTACCGTTGTCGCTGACCGTCCAATTTGGGTGTTCGGAAGGGACCCAGTATGGCTCCGCGACGATGGCGAGCGCGTAGTCTCCCTCAGCCAGGGTCTGGGTCAAAAGATCCTGTGCCCTGGCTGCGTGATTCACGTTGGCTTGCAACAGCCTGTTATCCCTGTTTGTCGTGTTCGTCATTACGAGGTTCTGGGTTCGTGCCCATCTCGAAGAGCGGGTGGCAGTGGCGAGGCCGTGGGGACTTCGGTCTCCATCCCTTCCGAGCCTTGTATGCTTTGCCCATCTGCGTGTTGCGACGCGTCCACCTCCATTAGACTGGGTTTGTCTGCGTTCTCCTCTCCCTCTCGTCGGTGCTCTTCGTGCATGATTTCGACGAGCGGCTGCGCGCTTCGTCTTTTACGCGGGGTCCGAGGCGGGTTACAGGCTTTGCCGCCGAAGCGGTGGTTGGCCGGCACGCCCCTTTCCGCACATATCCCGCAGTGGGCCGCGTTGCTACAAGCGTTCGTATTGTGGCCCGCCTCGCTGCATCGGTAGCAGAGACCACGCCGATCAGTGTCGCTTCTGCACTCAGCGACGACGTGGCCCCTCTCCCAGCATCGGTGGCACTGCACGTCCTATCCGCGAGGAGCTCCACCCGAACATTCGTCCACCCGATCTTGATCCTTGGCGTCCCGGTTATTTTAAGACCTGTACCGACAACTATACCAACTGGCCCCAACAAATTTGTTGTATGTACACTTGTGCGGTGTACTGAGCCCAGACGAACATGCGACACTTACGAAAGATTGCATTATTCCACCAGCCGAACACACTAGTTGCACCAATACCCGAAATATGCAGTCGGTGCGTCCCAGTCGAAATCACTATGAATACAAAAACGAATTGCAAATTATGAAATACATGTTTTATTAACAGTACAATAAAATGTATTGGAGATTGTACGATTTAACTTGTTTTTAATATATTTTTACGGCAATTGTGTATGACAATTATATATGTGCACTAGTGCATCCCATCTGAAATCGCTATTCATTGTACAACGGTCTTTATATGTACCAGTACGCACCTGTGCATCCCAGCCGAAATCGCTATTAGTAACTTTTGCAGACATCCGGTGCGAATTACGGATTACGGGCTGTATGTGACGGCAGCCTAAGCGAATAGTTACAGTGACATCGGTGCAACCGGGCCTTAGGCCGGTATTCATAGTCGGTTCTTATTTTAAGACCGTCATAAGTAATGTCTTAAGTCGCTAATGGGGCCCTCTAATTGGTTCATGACAACTTAAGACTGTACTTAAGACGATTTTGAATATAAGGCGTCGTCTACAATATGCGAAATAAGTTTGATTTAAGAGGTAAGAGTGAGAAATAGTAAGATAACAACACCGATTCTAACCCAGGTCCTCTGAGGGGGATGAGGAGCAGGGGGGGCGGCGCGGAAGGGTCCGCGGAGAGGGGAGGGAGTGACGTCACTAGGCGAGGGGGGCTGACGTCACGGGGAGAGGGAGGGGGATGACGTCAAAGTGGGTGACGTCACAGGGTGCGGAAAATTAGTGCGGTCACCGCTATACTTACTATGTATATTTACCATGTATACTCACCATCTCTCTCGCTCTTATGCTGTATCTTCTTATGCAGCTATATTTTTCTTCTCGAACGCAAAGTTGTTTTATTTTATGTTTACTTTATTTTTTATTTTTTATTTTATTTTTTATTTTATTTATTTCATTTCATTAATTTTATTTTATATTTTTATAACTTTACATTTTATGTTTGTGCGTATCTATTATTTAGTAACAGCGCGATGTGCCCATACTGTCGCGCTCGGTGATGTGCGCGTAATATGATACGGCAAAGAAGAAAGAAAAGAAGAAAAAAATGTGAAGACGATAAAATGTGAAGGAGGTATGTTTACTTAAGCAATTATATTTACCATACTTACTGGTTTTTCCCTATGCAGCTTCTTATTCCTCTCTCTGAACGTTTTCCGCAACTACTCGCTCGCAAAGATTTTAAATCTATCGCACAGTAAAACTTATAATTATAAGAGCGCGATAACGCTGTCTCGCGATGTTGTCGAGTGTCGGCGCGTTATATGATACGCTGAGATAGGATGAAGGAAAGAAACAAATAGCGAACACCAAGTTATTCTATTTAAGGGGGAACACCACTGTGAAATTTTTAAAAAATCGAAAAAATTTTTTTTCTTTTAAATGATATGCTTTAGAGTCTTTAAAATAAGGTGCAATTGATCTTATATGTGAAAAAATTTTTTTTAAGTGGTTCTATAACTGATTTTTTGAAACAAGGCATGATGCGATCTAAGCGTTTCGGACAAAGGTGCAGCGGTTCAACATTTGTGCACTCTTAAAATACATGATACCGATCGCTGTTGAACAATGAGCTTCAGTATGTCATCCTAGAGAATGCTAGTTTTCGACCTAAAATATTGATATATACAATGTTGATAAATATTGATAAATGATAATGACGGTCAGTATAATCGTTGAAACGACACTCTCGACTCGAGACGCTGTCTCGATTTAGATGCCTGTTGTTATTGCTGCTTCAGTTTTTAAAGTCCTGTAGAATAAATTGTTGTTACCATGAGTGATAAAATATATAGAACAAAGAAAGGTATAAAAGAAAAAACTTGGTCTTCAAAAAGAAGTAAGATCTCAAATAGACGACCGCCTAATCGACATTATGGAAGGAGAATCTGAGAGCGTCTGTACAGCAACAAAGAAACTGAAGCTATCTAAAGAGGATCATGGCATTGAAGTGAACGAATCATTTAGATATCATTTGATAAATTTTGTTGCAGTTTTCTCTGCTGTTTCTGAAGTTTTAGTGTGTAAGCAATGCGGGAAGAACGTAACATTTACACAAGCAAGCAAGCGTGGTTTAGGCTTCAAACTTGTAATTAGTTGTGAAGATTGCGAAAAAGTTTATATAAATAGTTGTCCCTTAATTAATAACGCATACGAAGTTAATCGTCGAATAATATTTGCAATGCGTTTATTAGGAATTGGCTTAAATGGTATTATTAAATTCTTGCGTTTGTGGATCTTCCACGACCGATTTATCAATCATGTTATGATTCCATCGTTAATAATATTCTTATCGCAACGGAAGCTATTCGTATTATGAAATGTATCACAAAAGCAGGTGAAGATGAGAAGATAATGTCTATAAAAAAAGGACAAATGTGAATGGAATTACTGTGTCTGGCGATGGGTCGTGGAGAAAGCGGGGATTTTCGTCGCTCTATGGATTAGTTACGCTCATCGGGTGGTCTACTGGCAAAGTGGTCGATATTCTTGTTAAATCGAAATATTGTAAGGCTTGTGAATTTTGGGCAAAGAAGAAGGATGCTGCAGAATACAAAGAATGGGCTACATCGCATTTGGAGCAGTGTCAAGCGAATCATGAGGGGTCAGCTGGAAAGATGGAAGTAGATGCCGTTGTCGAGATGTTTTCACGTTCCGAAAATCTCCATAATGTTAAATATGTTCATTACATTGGTGATGGTGATAGTAAAACTTTCAAAGGAATTACAGATGCTGAACTTTATAAAGACGTTACAATTTGTAAAAAAGAGTGCATCGACCATGTGCAGAAACGTATGGGCACCCGCCTCTGAGATTTGAAAAAAAAAACACGAAAGTCTTGGTGGAAAAGGCAAACTAACGGGCAAATTAATCGACGAACTCGCTGTATATTATGGATTGGCAAAATCCATTTGTCGAAATCCAAATTCCATCGAAAAAATGCGAAATGACATTTGGGCAACTCTATCACAAAATTTCGACGGATGAAGCACGATAAGTGCCCGAGCGGTGTGGATTCGTGGTGCTCGTGGCAAAAAGCGAAAGCCTCGGACAGTTTACATGAATATCAGCATAAAAGGCCTCTTTCACAAGAAATTTTCAATATCTTGAAGCTAGTGTATGAAGATTTGAGCAGGGACGACTTACTCAATCGTTGCTTAGGAGGCTTTACGCAGAATAATAACGAAAGCTTCAATTCGATTGTGTGGTCGATCGCTCCAAAAACAGTTTCAGGCGGTAAAAGAATAGTCGATATTGTCGCAAATATTGCAACTTGTATTTTTAATGATGGACTATCAAGATTAATGGAAATTATGCAGATGTTACAAATAACTGTAGGTCATAACTATCATAATTTCTACGTCGAGGCTAATGCGCACCGCGTCAAGGCTGTCGAGCACTCGCTCACGGATGCCGCTAATGACGCTCGTAGAGCCTGCACATCCTCCAGAAAAGCAGAAGAGGAAGAAAATATTAATATGGAAGGACAGTTATATGGTCCAGGCATCGCAGAGTAAAAGTAAATTAAAAATTTCTGTAGTTAAATTTGAAATAATGTTACTCGAAAATTTAAACGCGTTTTTCTCGAAACCACGTTTCCAATTGGCTTACAGTATAACTTCAATAAATTTTATACGATCCACTCAAAATTTTTACAGCTGCTAAACTAAATTCTCTAGAGAAGTACACATGATTTTTTCGATCGGTTAAAAACTTTTTTGGTTACAAGTACTTTTTTATTGAATTTTTTGAGTGAAAAGAAACTTTATTATGAAATGTTTATCATTTCTATAAAAATAAATATTTTAACATATACGTGTGTACTTCTCTAGTAAATTTAATGTAATTGTATTATAAAAAAATTTTGCTTTTTGTCCTTAGTGAAAGTGTGTAGCTTCTTCTGGTGCAAGCCGTGGAGACCGATAAAAAAAGCAGTCTTAGGGCAGAGTTCCAGTACCGTCATCATGACGAAAAAATAAAAAAAACTTTTTTTCTAGTACCTTTAAATATGTACATTAAAAACCTTCAAACTGAATTTCTATTTACTTTATTATTTAACTATAAAAAATTCCCAAAGTTACCAAATAGTTCCGCCAAATACATCTTCTGTTTCCACATTTGGAACATTTGTTCCTCTCCGTAATACCGCCGCTCCATACGGACGAAGCGGCAGTACTCGTAGTTCACATAGCCTTCCACCCTTTCGCCCCGCCATCCTGAAAAAATGATTATTATTATTATTATTATGACAAATGTACAATTTATCAATAATCCATAGTTAACTTATCAACGGAATAATACGAACACCAAGTTCGTCTTTCAATTGTAATCTAACAATTGGCTCGTTATCCACCATAAGATGCTGAAAACATTAGAAGACATGTATAAAAACATATTAAAACATATTGAAATAATCTTACAACCAAAAACTTACCCCACGAATAGAGTACACATATTGTACCTTCAGAACGTCTCGCAGATTGCTCATGATAAAATATTTCGGCAGACTTACTAACTGATGAACTAACTGATGAATTGACTGAATGTCCGCGGAGGCTGTGCGAGAATTTATAGTAAAGATGTACGTGACAATATGATATCATTATTCACTCAAAGTGTCACGTGCAAAAGTGCAATGCCTCAGTTAAAGGTTTATACCTCAGTCAAAAAGTATACCTCAGCTAAAAAGTACACAAGAGGACGTCGCGTTCAACGAAGAGGTGACTTAGATCATCAACGCTTTATATCAGCAAAAGTACATTGCCACGTACGAAAGTATATGTCTCAGTTAAATTATATGAGAAAATTTCGAGGTCGACTTCTGCATTTTATCCATTGCAGAGTTTCATGAAATGCAATTAAATATAGGGGAAAGTGGAGGAACTGTGCGCAGCGGGTAATTGTGCGCATCCTGATTTGGTACTTTTCCAATGAATGAAGACATCAATGTGGTGAAATTTTTACGAAGGGGGTCGTCCTCTTAAGATATAACTACAAAAGATACGACGTAAATACGTTGCTAACCAGAGAAATACAAAAAAGTGAAATCACATCTTTTCTTGTTATTTTAGCATTCAGAAAATAAGGTGGTAAGTTCGTATTTTTAATTTGTTTGTTTAAATGTTTGTTGCATATGTTATTAAAATATGTTATTATGTGCGTCTTTTGAGTTGTTATTTATTAAGTTTGGTTAAAAAATGTTGAAGTAATCGTATTTCATATCGAGTTAGGTCGCGGCGGGCAACTGTGCGGCAAGCGTTTTGAAATGCGCACAATTACCCATCTTTCATATACTATCTATATGACTAGCACTAATTTTTTCGTTTTTTTTTGCATTATTATTTTATTTTACCATTTATTTTGCCAAAGTCTACGTGCATTATTATTATATTAGTTTTATATTTTTGCTTAATATATATAATATACGTATATATTTAAAATATATTTAATATATATTTATATTACAATATAATAAATATATTTTCTGATTTCTTTGTCAATATTCCATAATTCATTCATTTCCTACGACTTTTACCCCGAAAATATGAGATAAAAGCGCGATCGCGGACGCGGTCATCGGTCAGATTTTACAACGAACGACGTCGCGTTACTTTGTCCATCGACTTTATTAATAAAGTGTATATATCGCGACGCGGATACAATTAAGTGTTTTGTGATTTCAATTAAATGTGACATTGTGAAATCGAGTTATAATAAAGCTATATTTCTAATAAAAAGTACAGAAACAGTGCGTTTGTTATTGTGCTCCCAAGTCCTTGTGGATCCTCGAATCGTGCCGTGGTAGAACCAGCACAACAATATTGCAATATAATAAATATATTTTCTGATTTCTTCGTCAACATTCCATAATTCATTCATTTCCTACGACTTTTGCTTCGCGCACAATTACCCAACGCGCGAGAAATTTTTTCGCTTTTCCGTTTTTTCCTTTTTGCTAAATATAATCTTATTGAATGAAAATCTGCTCGATATGAGGATACGTAATGGTAGAAGAATGTTTATAATTTCTATTTCCATACTTATATTGTTTTGAACTTGGAAAATCATTCCAGCACAATAAATTTCCCTTAGGTGCGCATAATTCGTTCACTTTCCCCTACATATAGCAAACAGTTATTAAACCACTATTAAACAGATATCAAACCGCTATCAGTACACAGTCGAATCGCTATAAACAGCTATCGAACCGTTATTCAACCGATATTAAAGAGCTATAAACAGCTATAAACAGCTTTTAAATAGCTATCGAACTGCTATCAGTACATAGTCGAACCGTTATCGAACGGTTATCGAACTGTTAGCGAACCGCTATCCAACCGATACTGAATTGTTATCAGTACACAGTCGAACTGTTATCGAACGGCTATCAAATAGCTGTAAACCGCTATAAACAGCTGTCGAACTGCCATCGAACCGCTATCGGTACATTGTAAAACAGATATCAATCCGCAATAAACCGCAATCGAACTAATATAAACAGCTATCGGATACCTATCAGTTCATTTTCAACAAGTATCTACTTATATCAGTCATATTACTACTATGGGTGATACGGGTAACAGAAATAAAACCTATCAATGTGATATATTTATTATTAAAAAAAAAAAAAAAAAAAAACAGCTTTACAATTCTTTCTGGCGTCGAGACCAGTTGAACATCTTAAATACATTTTGCAAAGAACAATTGTCAGCGTGTCCACATCGTATTACAGTCATCTAGATTACGTAGCGATTCCACATCTTCGTAATGCGCATCTAGAGTTTCAACGATTAAATTATCGCTGTCAAGTATATCAGCTAACCAATGCCGTTTTTCAAGCCCGTTTACTTGTAGGAGAGCTTCATCCTCTTCTATCACAGCCTCTTTAATTAAGTGTTTCGCCATGCTGTACGGGACTATCCCGTCGTCCTATTGCAATCCATGGTGATAAGCACTCAACCAGGAAGCGCAAGATTTGTCGGATCTTGTCAGAAAATTCCACGGCACAGGACATAAAAAAATATAGTAAGTGAGAATGGTTCCTCTTCTCAGCATCGCCACTTCCTTCACGATAAATTTTTTGCCGACAACGAATCCTTGCAGATCCACAAACATCGGTATGACCATGACGAACATTTATTCGAGACTGCGCTCATATTAGTGATAATCTTTCTTAAATTCTTGCTGATGTTGCAATTTACATGATCTTACGCACTACGTTGGACAACGGACAATATTCGATTACACGATCGTGTATGATGAGACAGTATGCGGTAGTATTGGCAGGCACATTCTCCTTGCAGTCAAATTCTATGCGTACATCCACGGTAGCGCTCTTGACGGATTCGTTTTGTCGCGAACAATCAATAACCGCGAAAGGCCTTTCTCGATAAACGAGAGCACGTTAAGAAGCGTTTCGAAGCAATCGATTCCGTAAAAATCTTTATGAAAACGCGTGTAATATCAAACAAAACGGCGTATCTCTTTTTGCCAAAATCCAGATTCAAATCATCTTACGGATAAAACTCTGAATTTAGATAAAGTTTCACGTTGCTCAAATTACAATCATCAAACAGGCTAGCATCTCGAGATATGATATTCTTTCGACCGGTCTGCAGAGCAAAGGTAACGTCGCTTCTTCTTAATCGCGGCTTCTCAAGCTGAGTTGCTGTTTTAATGGACCATGAATGTTTGGTAGTACTCTGTAACAGAGGATACTCGTACAGATCCCACGAGCGAAAACTCATGCTTAGATAACGACCGCTTTCCAATGCTCGCAACATCGACAATTCATTCATCTCGTTTAACGTGAGGCATCCGCCACTGCACTTTGAATAATTCAACCTCAGGCTCCGTCGCAGGATTTCCCACCAAGCAATTGTAGTCGTTGCGCGCTCGTATCAAAATCAATTCGTCGAGCGTTAACGACCACGCGTTTGTAACCTCCGCAAAAGCACAACAACATGTTGAGCGGTACCGCAAAAATTAAAGTATCCTTCTTCCATGTTGGATCTAGTGTTCCATCCAGCGTTCAGCGCAATCAAAGATTTGTCGTACGTCAGCGACACATAGTTCTTGATGGTACTGGTAACTCCAACATTTCTGTTGCGGTCAATCTCCACGACGTTCAGTTCGAATTTCATCAAACATGAACGCCACGCAATTATTTTCAAGCGTTGTTGGCGTATCATCATCTTTCTTCTTCAGCGTCAATCTTCCTTCGACGTAGAGAAAACTGTCCCACGGCAACGTGTATAAATCCTGCTGCTGTATGGGTATCCGTATCTCATCGCTGTGTGCAAACGTTGTGTTGGCATACAAATTGTACGTGTGAGTCTCGATCTTGACGATGCGGTCGTCAAAGATAGGCTCGCTGGCAATGTTTAAAATATCAGTCATTTCGTACGATGAATCCCAACGACTTTAAAAATGCTATACTGGAAGCAGTGAGTTTTTTTCTAGATGACGTTTCTCCGGTAATAGGCGTATCTCTCGTCCGTTTCAACTGTTCGTTCAACACAAGCATCTCACGTTAGTGCTGTCGTACATGCAGTC